TGTGATGCACATAACCACAAAACAGTCTGCTAAGGTCTCCTTCAAGTTATGTAGAAGAGCTATAGTTTCAACATTGGTCTAAGATCTTTTTACTCAAAATAAATAGGAAATCAAGTGTCTTTCATTATAAACTGTAAATTTCACTTGATAGCGGTCTTAGAAATCATGTAAAGTAAGGATTTATTCTGCCCAATGTTATAATACTTCAGAATATTAGTATTAGATAAATAATGTGATTTGATTCTAAATGGTGATATGTTAACATAATAGAACATCTCTAAAATGATAATATAATTTGTAGAAAAGTTGGTAATAGTATTAACTTCTATCCTCCATGGCATATTCAGTGGATCATTGTAAAGACAATAGCAAAATATTCTTGTCAATTTTTGTAGACTTGAACATATATGGGCTAATTTCAATGTAAACATTAACACCTCTATAAAAGCAGTATCTCTCAAAAGGACGAAGTTAAACAAAGCAAACATGAACAAGTTTGGAAGTAACAGAACTTCCTCTTTGTTGATTTGCTTCATTTATGCTTTAGGTATTTTACAAATCACACATGGACATCCAACAGCCACAGGACACAATAAAGACAAAACTTACTGCTATTTTTAAAATATATGCTAAATCTTCTCAATAACTCATTTGACATAATACAAAAATGACATCACTTTGTAGCACTGCAATAATTCAAGTCATCCTAATTCAACTTATTGCAGAAAATGTTCACCTTACATAGCCATTAATCTCAAGGTGGCTTTAATCAGTATGTTTCATAAAATACATAGAAAGAGCACAATTCCATGCATCACTAGCATTTTTCAAATGACAGCTGTCCACCTTCTTTCCTTGGTCAAGAGGAGGGAAGAAAGAGAAAGAACTGGTACAGAGGAACTTCTCTCTGGAAAGATTTGGCCTTGGAGTAAGGGCTTTTGAGATGTGCTAGTGATCTTGGATCGATGCCGTTTTATTTTCTTTCAGGAATAAATCTGAGCAATGGAATGGCTTGCAATTGTTCAGCCAACCAGCCATATCAGATTTATCAGAAAGAGAGAATGAAAACTGGCTCAGAGGACTCCTCCTGCAGTGGCTGAGTGGCAGGTTGCTGGGAAAGACACACAAAAAATGAATGCACTTAGTGGTAGAAAGGAAAATATATATTCACATGTGTAAACTCAATAAATAATAAGATGTAAAGAATCTATAGTAATGGAAAGGGTGAATGCAAAAGACAGAAGATAAATAGTACTTCTATTTAAGAACCAAAGGGATGGAAGCTCATGAATACTAAATAATTGAATCCACTTTAAGGAGGAAATATGATTTTCCATCAAATAAATGCAAACTCTAAAAATCAGCCAATGCTAACTTACTGTGTTCAAGTTAGAATAAAAAACACATAAATCTTCCATGAAGTACATGCCTTGGTAAATATTCTAATGTAATTTCTTAATTAAGACACATTTCCAGTGACTAAATGAAATATATATATATATATATATATATATATATATATATATATATATATATCTCCATAAGTGCCTTGATTTTCAAAAAAAATGACTTTCTATGCATGCATGATTGAAATAAGGGCAGCTGAATTTAAGGGGGGAAAATAGGAACCATGACACAACCAGTTATTCCATTTCATCATAACAATACAAAGTAACAGTATTTTCAACTAATTTGCAGTTATAATAGGTATTAATTTATTTAGCAGTATCCTGAAGAGAAAAATACCTTCTTGTACAAAGCTCTTTTACATATATAAGAATTTCAAATTAAAAGAAGATAGGGAATAGTGTATTCATGCCTGTGCTTGCAGTAAACACATGTAAGAAAAAAAAGGACTGATGCTATTTGAAAATATATTTAACATCTTTTTGTGCCATTTAAGTTTTAGGACATTTTCTTTACATATGTAAAAATCAACCCTAAATTTTGAGGTACAATAATATAGCTTTAATATATATATAGGAAAGATGATGTTCTTTTATAAAAATGAAAGCTGGACTGGGTTCCCTGCAAATAAGAAATGGGAACTATATTTGTTCATCACATATTTATTAATGTCTGCAAGAATGACACTTCAATACCATTATATATTTTATTTCAATACAAAGGTAATATTGATATTTTCCCATCAAAAGAAGACGACAAATTTTAGAAGCATTTCTTGGAGTGGTAAAGGCTTTATAATTGCCATATAAATGGCCTTTGGCTATAATGTTTCAGATAAAATGAATCACTAGAAATGAGACAAAGTCCTTCAGAATTAAAAAATCCTCTAAAGCTGATTTTTTCCCAAGTCCAATTTAAAAAAAAAAAAAATCTCTTGTTACATTTTTCTAAGAAATATCTTAAATATCTAGATAACAGAATCCCCCACCCTACAATTTTATTCTGTTCACATAGAGCAGTAAATAAGGTGCATTCCTTCTGCTTAAAAAATTAGCATTTCAAAAATATGCCACTTTCCCCTGAACTCCAAGCGTGTCTAATAATGCGAGAAGCAGATTGTCTTCCCTCGTTTCCTTAATTTGTTTCATCTAAAAGCAATTCACTCAACATCTTGTCGCCCTCTGGCAGCTTAGTTTACTTATCCGCACTTAATTTCTCATTTGGACCAAAACAAACTCCTCCAAACTGCTACTGACTGCTAACCGAGAGAGGGGAGACGCGCGATACGTATTTACTTGGGAAAACACAGCCACACACATACGCAGGCACAAACATACAGCGCCACACACTTGTTTTTATAATAGCACTACGTTAAAACCAGCTAAACTTTCCCTGCCAGGTGGAGGAGAACTGAAAAAAAAAAGTCCCCGGGGGCATTTACAGTTTCCAAAGGATCACCTTAGTATGCGTGTTGCAATTATGCCAGGGATGCACCCGAGAGCTTTCCTTTGTGCGGCCCTTTCATCTAGATCACTTTGTGTTTTGAACAAGTGAGGCTCGCTTTTGTGCCCCCAGAATTTCAAGTACAGAGTCACTCACACACGGAACAACAATAGCACGCTAATCCTCGCGCTCTAAATGGGCTCACTTGTGGGTCTGACGATTCGCCCAGGGAAAGGAGAAGAGACTAGCAAGGGCGCGAGCTGGTGTCGCCTGAGACGAGGAAGAGGACAGCTGCAGAACTAATTTGGATTACATTCCTTGCAGAAATTCTGAAAAGGGCTTTTAGGCATAGCTGGACCCGGAGCCGCACAGTTAATACCAAATTGCTGCGGACTCGGAGCTGGGTCCCCCAGCGGCAGGGCCGAACCAGACAGCCCCCAGTAGGTCGCCTAGTAGAAATTCCTCTCGGCTAAGCCTGCGTGTCAGTCGCAACTGCTTTTGAATGGGTCAATATGCATAATCAACCCATTGAGGGAAAATATGAAGGGACTCGGGGTGCGGAGGGAGATAAAAAGGGATGTATCTAAGAGGCCTCCTGGAATCTCAAGTCCAAGTTGGTGTGATTCTTGAGGTGGTGGAGCGCGGGACCTGGTATGCATGAAGAATTTCGAAGTAATTGGGAGGGTGCGAACGGCCTGCACAAATGTCGCACAGTGCCTTTCGAAGGTCATTTTGAAAGGCTCAATGACTGTAACTTGTTATTTACTAGGCGGGGGGTGGGGGTTATGGCGGGGGCGGAGCGGGAAAACTACCGCGCACTGTTTTCTTGGTGAGGTCAGAAGGACACCCTCGGGGGCCTAAAGCTCTCCCTATCGCCAGTCCCGGAGGCTTTTATCTCCTTGAACTGCCTCCCACGCTCCCACCACCAGCCCTGGATGGTTCCGGAAATCTTCCTGCCACTCCAAAAGCCTCCCCTTGGCCGCGGCAGACACCGATTCTCCTCAGTCCTGTCCGGTCCCACTTTTATCCCCAGGAAACTCAAAGTGCCAGAAACTTTGAGCTCCCTCTCACTGCAGGTGCTGTCATTAGCCCTGCCCGCCGCGTCGCGCCAGCCCCACTGTTTGGCGTCTCTGGGTCAATTAGCCCTTGGCCTGTCCAAATACCTGGGGCTCAAGATCTCCAGCAAACAGTGACCGTGCACCCAGCGCTGCCGCCGCGCCTGCCTCGGGTTAAATCAATTCGCGCGACCGGCAGGCTCCGCAACCCGACCGGGCAGTAAACAGAAGTTGGAGGGACTCCGGCCAATAGCAAGTTGAAGTACAGGAAGAACTCTTCCTCGAGCCAAACACAGCAACCGACTGGAAGGCCCGGCTCTTAGTTCCACTGTGCCACCTCCCCCACCCCCCTTTTTTCTTTTTTCCTTAAAGAGGTCAATCAGGCAAGCAAGCGTCCCTCAAGTCAGTCGGGCGAGAGCTCTGGGACGCTGACCAAGAAAGCCCAGAGCTCCCGGCCTCAGGCCGAGGCGCGCCCGCCCGCTGAGATCCAGCTGCCCAGGCTGGGTTCTTGTCACATCTGACCCCGCAAAGCTCTGGCGATTGGGGGCGCAGCGACCGTCTATACAGGTGCAAAGCCCGGCTCTAGTCGCTCCACTCTCACAGCCTTCTCTCAGGAGGGGCTCAGCAAGATCAGCCCCGTGACCCCAGCCTTTCACAGCCTCCGAGGTGCGCTCTTCTCTGAGGTTGCCTCCCTCCAGGGCCCTGAGAGGGAGAGTGCAGTCTCCTCTGAGGGGTCTGGGTTTCCCATGTCCCGAACAACAGGCACGACTAGAAGGGATCCCGCTCAGGCGCACAGAAAACGCGCGAGAGAGAAACAAGAAGGTTAAGAACAGAGTGGGGGAAAGGAACAGAGGCACAGAGTAATTTTTCACGATAAATAAAATACATACACACAAATACAAGGTAAGTTTGGGATGGAGAGAGGAGCGACCGAAAGCCCAAGCAAGAGGCCCTGGTCGAGCGGTCCCTCCAACGCCTGGGAGCGAGTGGGTATCGGGATGGGCAAAGAGAACGAGGGAGCCACATCACACGAGACAGCCAAGCAGGCGGCAAGCAGGTTCAACAGCTGGAGCGCGAGAAGGAACCGCGACCCACCTGATTGAGAAGCGCTGGGCTGGACGGTCCCTGCCGCCAAGAGAAGGCTCACCCAGACCCACAGTCCTGTCGCCAGCTTCATTTTTTGGAAGTCTCAGATCCCGTGCTGACAATTACATGTCCAAATGGCATATCCCCTTTCGGGCACGCGGAGGAGATCCTCCAGCCAGGCGCGCGTGGGGGCGCGAAGGGGGCAGGCGCGGCGCGCTCTGTGCACCGGCTCTCTGGGTTGGCGACCCAGTCCGCGCTCGCGGGTCCAGGGCCGGGGTCCGGAGGAGGGGTTGAAGTGTGCGCGTGAGTGTGCGTGCGAGTGGGAGTGTGCTCGAATGTATGCGCCTGGTGCTCCGGGGTCGGACTGTGCAGCTATTTCCCCGGGTGCGCCTTTGCTTTCTCGCTCCCTCCTCACTTTCTCTCTCTCTCACTGGTTGGTCAACAATAAAAAGGAAGGGGGGAAAAAGGTTTCCAAAAAAAGTTGATTGCAAAGAGGCGGTAGGTTTCCGGCCTCTCCCCGCAGCAGGGCTATGTTCGGCTCCTTTTTTCAGTTTCCTTGCACCTCCAGTCCAAATCGGGAGGGAAGGGGGGCGGGGGAAGCTTCTTGCTTCTCCCCCGATCCTGTCCTTCTTTTTCTTGTCAGCTTTCCTCACACTTGTCCAGCGGCTGCGGTAATTAAAGCTCCGAGCGTCATTTCCAGCGCTCCGCGGTCTCCAGCTGCAGCCCCACAGAGAAATTAATAAGACTCAGGAAAATAAGGGGGGTGGTAGGGGTGGGAATAAAACAACCCTCCACGCAACCAGGCAGGCTCTCCTCAGCCGCGCAAACCCCGCCCCTGCTCTGACCCAACTAGCCACGCCCTTCCCCCCCAAAGGGAAATCTTATTGGCTCAGCCACTCCCCAAAATCCTCGGCCTCCGGAGTTGGGAAAACACCTGTCAGGGAGCGGGAGCGGAGTGGTGGGGGTGGCGGAGGCTGGATTTAAAGGGCTCACTACATACCGAAACACTCCCCTTCCCATCCTGTCAGAGGCCCGGGACAGCTGCCCTGCGAGCAGACAGACCACCAGAGAGATGCTTGGGAAACGAATTTTTTGACACAACAGAAATCATCATTTACTCCATTGCCCCAAGGTACTCATTCCCAAACAGGACTTTCCCTAGAAATAGAAGAAAAGTCGATGTTGCTTCGGGTAAATTGCCTCTGCTTCTCCACCCCCTCGTGGTCCACACTTAGGAAGTAATTTAAGTGGAAACAGTAAGGAACTGGTAGTTTCTGCAGATGCGATAATCTCTGCAGATGAGATAATGGTAGGAGAGATGGCATAATTGATTCCCACCCTCGAAAACTGACAGACACTAAGCAAAAATTTTAAAATCCATATTTGTAGAGCCACATCATTTGACATTTAGATTTTATGGAAAATGTCATCAAGCCTAAACTGTTCAGTCTGAAAGAATTTTAAGGTCGTATCAGAACGTAAAGGACTTCAACTGATTAGGCTTATTCTGTAGTAGTCAGCTTTAGGCCTCTTCCTTGTTCTTACTCTGCAGGCTTATGCTCCCAATAACCATCATTGTCTGGTGTGGGAGTCTCTGAGCTTTTCTGAATCTAAAATATCCTGGGACCAGGTCATTCCAGTCTACATATCCATTATAGTTTTACAGTCCTGAAATTGTACTCGGAGCAGGGACCCAAATCTTCTGGGTGTAGTAGGTTATTGGTTTGCTATTTGCACAGGCATTCTGTGTATAAATTCTTTTCTTTACATGGCTCCTCTAAAAGCAGCAAATATATAAATAAAATTATCAGGGGAGCTTAAAAATCAAGCCACCAGTGTGCCACCTCAATCATCATTTGAGACCTTATCCTTTTCCTCTATGCTCCTTAAGAATTTCCATGGAGCTGAGAACAGGAGGAAGAGCAGAAAGCTGGAGTCTGAAGCTTTGCCTTTCTAGGGCCCACAGCAAGTAAGAGGCCCAGTGAAGAGGCCAAACAAGCTGAGGCTGCAGTTTTAGCAGAAGCAGCCAAGGGCAGAGAGAAACTAAACTTAGAGCAGCTGATGGTGACTTGACCAGAATGGTACTGACTGCAATAGAGCCCTGTGAACAGCTCTTTGGAATTATCTTCATTTCTATCTTTACCACCCGCCCCCTCTAATTTTCTTTGCTTTCATTTAATCTCACTTCAATCACCATTCTTTGTGTTCTTTTACTTCTTATGACCTCTCCTCCTTAAAAACTACTTCTTTTTTAAAATATACATTCTACCCCTATAATAACAATTTAAGTAACAAACTGTTTTCTTGAAAAATTTTAAATTTTAAAGTCCAGTGTCTCATGCCAATTATCTTGCAAGAGGTGAAGAAATTAGTTGTGTATTTTAGCATCAATTGTGAGGAAAAAAAGTAAATGGTGTGAACATTTTAAATTTTTTTTTCTAGTGTCCATTGTTATAGTTACTCCCACACCGATTTTATGGTTTTTCTATGTCAGGAACTCTATATGTACCCTAATCTTAACCAGAATTTCTAAAATAACTCTTGGCTAAGGAGGATTTTTAATTAACAATCATTGGTTTAGAAAACACTTGGTCTATATTTTTGTGTACAGCAAACAGTTCATATGTGGTTTCCACCAATTAAGTTGGTTGGAAACCAGTTTAAACCAAATGCACCATAATTTGCATTAGCCCTTATTTTCCTATCTCTAACTTATTGAAACAATGATTAGAGCCTGGGCAGAGGTAATCAGGAGCCTATGAAATGAATCTACACTTAAAGCTCTAATAAAGCATCCTGCATTTGATGGTGACTGGTCTACCTAGTCATAGTCTGTCTCAGATGATTTGATTATGAGAATGAGAAATCTGGGGCAGTGGTGAACCCCTGTAATCTCAGCTACTCAGGAAGCTGAGGCAGGAAGATCATGAGATCAAGGCCTGGGAAATATAGCAAGACCCATCTCAAAAAGGAAAAAGAAAAAAAAGAAAAAGAAAATGAATAAATGTCACCTAGAAATGTAGACAGAAAGATGATACCCTCTGTGATTACCCAGAATGGTGAGAAAATAGAAGTCATACGCTAGAATCAAGAATTAGGTCTTCCTGTGTCCTCTATCATCTGATTCCCATCTCAAGTGAGTCATCATGAGAAAAGAACACCATAGGGAACATTTTCTACCTTACATGGGAAGGACATGCTAACTGGGTTGCAACATGCCAAGATGGATCTCTGCATTTCTTCATTTTCCCATGTGTCTATAATAAAACCTTATCTATTATCTAAAATGTGCTGCTATTACTTGCAACCTGAAAGAAAATCTGAGTAACACAACAAATTATTTAGCAAACCACAAACACCTGAAACTATCTGCTGAATATCCCTTTTCTAGGAACTCTCCATTCCCTTAGTTCTACATTTTTAATCTGGCTATACTTCCATAAAAAGACCACCTTTAGTCCCTGGTTGTAAGTTGGATGACTCAAAACCAAGTTAGAAAAATCAAAATACCTTAGTTGCTATTGACTAGAGGAGAGATGGATTTGGGGGCCTGGGAATGGAAAGGTTCAAATTAAGCTTTCACTGGTCGTTTTGAGATCTTAAACTCCAGACTGGCCTGTCCATGTTTCCTTCTGTGTAGGAATGACCAACATACAGAAAGAAATAATAATGTTGCCATTTGAAAGAAGAAAAAGCCCAGATGGTTCTTGACAGTATTCAAGTTCTTCCTGTGGCTTAATTGTTAACATCCCTATTTCCTTAAGTTAGTTCAATTTCCCTTTTTATTACCTGAAATTAGAACAACGTGATGTGAGAAAATAACTTTTCAATATGAGTGAGGTTGAATACGCCATCAAGCTCTCTGAGGAAGATATTTTGACATGGCCCATATTCTTCAGTGTCCTTTCCTCATCTCTCATGATTTCCCTTGATTGAAGCCATAATCACAACAGTGATGTCCTTGTCCTATGCTGCTTTCCCATATCTCCTTCCTCGTCATTTCTTCCATTAATAATAGAGTTCAAGGAGTGTCTTGACATAATGAGTGACAGAATGTCTCCAGTGGTGGAAAAGAATACATAGAACTCAGAGTTCAATGTTAAATAATATCCTTTCATTGTCCCATAGTATCATTGTTCTTGCTAATCATCAGGTTGTTTTCAAGACTTCCCTAAAGATCAGCCTAGAGAATGCTGCTTTGTATATTTTGCTATTGGCCAAAGATATAAACTTGAATCAAGTATTGAATAAGAAAATGAGATCCTATTATAAGTCAATTATCTTCTCCTGATTCTAATTTTACTTACTGGCCATGATCATCTATCTCATTATCTTTCTAAGTTATCTTGTGATCGGAACAGCTCACTTCATATCCCTGTGCCCATTTCCTCATCTTTAAAGGAAGGGGTTGTTTTATCCAAATCTGACTTTGTGAGTCTATGATTTACCATCCAACCTACTAAGAGGTTACAATATCCATATACTTGAGCTATTTCTTACATTCCTCCCAATCTTCCCAGTTCCCCATGCATATCTCTTCATCTGTGGCCACCAATACAGATATGTCTTACAGTATCAGTGCTGGCTTGAGCTGTTATAATGAACACCACAGACTGGGTGACTGATACAACATTTATTTCTCCAAGTTATGGAAGTGGGGAAGTCCAAGATAAAGTTGCTGAGTTGGTTTCTGCTGAGGGCGCCTCTTCAGGATCTACTGATGGACTCCTTGTTGCTGAATCCTCACAAGCAGAGAAAGAGATTGTGTCTCCCTTGTTTATTCTTGTAAAGGCACAAATCCCATTAATGAGGACTGTATTCTAATGACATAATTAACTCTCAAAGGCCTCACTTTCAAATGCCAAAACATTGAAGATTGACTTCAGCATATGAATTTCAGGGGATGCAACAATTCAGTCCATAGCAAAGCCTTTGAAAAATATCCATATAAGTTCACTATTATATTGCTGTGAGGTAATCAAGATTTGCATCATTACTCTTCCTTCAGTCTAAGGGAACCTATATTATGATAAATCTAAATTATTTTCAGTATTATGATGGTCAAGCAGATGACAGACACATGTTGATGGGTTTAACTGAACATGTGAAATAACACATTTTCTATTAACTCCATGAATCCTGGGATTCTCTGATATTTTAATGACTTTCAAAGTTTCAAGATCAAAATAAAAACTTTTAAAAGTCAAACATTTTAATTGCATAAATAGACACTAGTAAAGAAATGGTTTTCATTACCTCAGTTAATTTAGTATCCAGAAAGGATCTCCCCAAGAATATTTTGCTTTTGGTTAGTGTTATTTTTTTTTCCATGTACATGATTAAGTTTTAATTTTTTAAGTACTAAGGAGGAGTGACTGAACATAAA